CCTGAAGGCCTAGATGCTTTTCTAAAGTAAACTAATGAGAGAAACATTGTGCTACGCTGTCATCTTTTGGCATGTAGATGGCAACACAAGCTTCTTCTTCTTCTTGCGTCGGTATTGTTTGGTGGTGAACTGGTTAATGAGTTCCTGTATTTACTACTCATTGTGTCTTTGTCCACACAGTCGGTCCTCTGTGTCTTTTGTTTGTTTCTGCTGGCTGTGTCGTTGCCCTGCTGAGATGTTACCCAGTGGTACGATACAGACCGTACATTGTGTGCGTATAAAAGCACTCGGTCTGCTTAATAACGGCCGGCTTCTCCGACCTGCTATCATCAGACTAATCCTCTTCTCAAAGGTCGCCTTATTAGAGGCTCTTACTTTGTCACTGTGTAATGATGGGCACTTTTAGATTAATGCAGGCTTAGCAGTGTAATAATATGTACCGTCTCAGGTTCACTCCGCTCCACACAAATGACTTCCTGGAGTCCCTTTTCTTATTCTGCCCATATGGACTCGTCCGATTCCGATGAAACGTCTTTTTCTTCGAGCTGCCTCAGATTCGAAGTTTTAACGGTCATTTAAAATAAAATAATCCTCTGATTCATCCTAATGAAACTATTCGTTGCAGCCTTAAAGTTGAATATCTTTTGGTCTGTTGGTCGGTCAAAACACTTTTGGACTCGTAGCTCGACCTGAACTTGTATTCAAGCAAAAAGACTTTTAATGTGGCTTCTAGACAGCCGTCAATAATAATGAATACAGAAAAATGAAGTATTGTAATGTGCATTTACTCTATTGACGTTCTATAGACGACATAGCATACAAACATGTTTTTCTAGATTTTGTACATCTTGCTCCGTGTATGTTGGACCCCTGGACTTCCTCTCTCTTTGTTCGTCTCTACATGAGTGTGTAATGCTTTGTGGACTCTGGGACTGGTAGCAGAGATTGTGAGTGTGTGTTTGTGATAGATAGAGGTATAACGGCTGTGTGTGTGAGTGTGTGTGTGTGTGCGTGCTATCGTCTTCGGTCTTTTAGTTTTATGCTTACTTTGTCTCAGCCATGCTCTCCTCCAGGCCTCTTCATTACCACCAATAAGAAGTCAATTTCCCCTGGGCTCCGCCAATCATAGCGTCCATATCCCCTCCAGGCACGGCCAATCAGCTTCAACGCTCCTCCAGCCCGATGTCATGAATGGCTAATGACGCCCGGTGGTGGGCATGAATGAAAATGAGGCCGAGTCGGGGCTTTTCCTAACTCGGAGAGCATTTCAGCCGTAAACAAGAAGTCCAAGTTCAAGGCAAGATGTTATTGGACATCCAAGCAGCGCAGACATCCGCTCGGTGAAGTCTGAACGTGTGAATGTTACGGTCACACCGCGTCCACCATGCAGACCGAAGGAATAGTGGATGTAAAATAGACAAGAAAATATTTTTAAAAACGTAATATTTAGTGTTTGAAATGAAGTATGATGCAACGGTTTTGTTTACATAGACTGGAAACCAGACTCTTAAAGACCTGTCGTGTGTTTAAATGTTTCTTTGGGCCAACATCTGGACGGAAGGACAGACAGACAGATCTGGTGCGTCCCCGGGGATCTCGTGTGTCAGAAAACTGTTTTTAGTTTGAACTCCTGCGGGTGAGGAGAGGGAGGGACGAAGGGAGAGGGAGGGAGAGACGGAGGGAGAGGGAGGGAGAGAGAGGGGGAGAGAGGGAGGGGGAGACGATGTGAATTACAAAGACAAGTTAGAAAGAGAGAAGCTTAGAGAGGTTAGACAGTGAGAGGAAATCAGTCGGGCTTTATTCCCCCGGCTGGAGCTTCAGCAGACATTCCTGGATTTAGTTTCACTCCAAACTTTTTGAGCAGAGGGGTCAGTGAGACTTTCACAAAGTATGCACTCGGGATTTTAATGAGTCACAGATTGCTGTTCTCTCCCCTGTGTATGTATATAAGTGTGTGTGTGTGTGTGTGAGACTCACTTTTCCATCACATTAGCATTTTATCGCCGTGGTTGGCAACTCCGGTTTTCTACCAAATATGTGCTGCTTGTGGCTGCCAATGTAATCTCTCACACACAGACTCGGACTCCATTGTAATACTATATTCAAGCAGACTTTCATTCCTAAAGTCTGTTAACCCAAACCAGAACATGCCAAACCGTCAGCCATAGACCCCCGCCACACAGACGGGATAGAACACCTGAATAAACGAGTGCAGAAGCCAACACGTCCTCACTGGAATGCATGAAATACGTGAGCTCGGTCAGTGCTGGCTTCAAATGATGGCGCTCTGTGTCAGGGACTCGTGTAAATATAGGTTTGTTACATGCATAGTGTCTTTTCAAAATAAACCTCCATCTTCACAGGAAGTTTGGTTATTTGATATGGACGCCACAGTTGTGTTAGAATTGTAACATACAGTTATGCACAAGGACCAGATGCACTGGGTTCAGTGTTGGGAGCACACCTGTGATAAAGCTCTGAACCCTCACTGTACACATCAGACAGACACGGTTAGAGAATAACTGGTGAACTTAGTCGAACATTCAGCAGCTAAAGACACAGAGATTCCCTCAGGAGGTGGTGGAGACCAAAAACGGAGCTAAAAGAGAATATTGGACTTACGTTCATCAAGTTATCATGTGAGATATGCAACCGTTTGCCTACTTATTGCACTTTATGAGTCAGTGTTTTGTTCCCAGCTGGTTATGGCTACATTTATTCAGGTTTAAATTCAGGGAGGGGGAGGGAGGGAGGGGGAGGGAGGGAGCGAGAGAGAGAGAGATTTCCTTTGATGTGGCAGATGCACACTTCCATAACAGGCCCTCTGAGAGCGAAGGTGAATACACCTGCTGTCTTCTTATATTGAGGTGGAGGAGGAGGAGGAGACTGGGTCAAAACAAGAAGAGGCTTTTTATTTTACTTTCATGGTGAATGAAGTGCTGCTGACCTGCATTATGGACGCAGTTTATTCTTATTGCAGGTTTACAGATGTTTTGCGACAGCGTATGAGGGACATTGTTGGCAAAAGATTTAACATGACACACCCTCATCACACCACAGACACCACCATTTATCAATGCGGTAACATGAGCCGCCAAGGTTTGTTTTTGTAAATTTACAACTTTAAAGTTTAAAGTTAGCTCCACCATGACAAACTACAACATTAAAGTACTGCTTTCAAAATTCTACATCAATGACAATGACACAGAGTATAACTAGTATAACACTGAGAGTAGCTGCTTTGTATTACGAGTACTTGCTGATACTAGCGCTTGTACTTCAATGAAATGTTGAATGCAGTACTTTTACTTCCAACAGAGTATTTCTACACTTTGGTATTGCTACTTTTACTTGAGTAAATAATTTAAATAGTTTCACAACACTGTCTGAATGTACTTGTATCATATTACATCACACGTTTCAATAAATGTCGTCACCCAATGACGTTTAACCGACCAACCAGCAAGCAGCATTAAAACACCCTAAAAAGTGTAAATGTATTAATTAGGAAAGTGGTTTTCCTAAACTTAAGTTATTTGGTGAACAATGCTGTGACCACAACTCGTCTCACTGAGAAGCCGTCGTTGCATAAAAAGAAATAATCGTGCAAGTAAAAATGAGACATACAATTGTGCAGAAGTTGAAATATAGGGATATGAATATAGAATAAAATGCTGGATATCTGTTGTAGTAAAACGTTCAAAGGTTTCTGTGTGTAACACTCTAAAGTCTGCATTGCAGCCATTAGGAGCTGACTCCTTGATATCTGGGGATAGGTAATTGGGGCGAGCAGGTGGGTACAAAGATAAGTCTTTTCAACCCAATAAATCCTTTTTGCAATGAAGCGAACTGAAGTGAATTCAATTTGGAGGGAGTTAACAGCACAGAGGGGGGGGGGGTAGGCAGCCAGTTGATCCACCACCAATCAGAACGATCTGATAGACGCCTGATCACGTAAATAGACGAACACGAAGTGACTTTAATGGGTTTTGATTTGACAGAAGGCAGAGACGCCGCCGCTGTGATTAAAACGTTTTTTACTGTTTTGAGGGAAAATTATAAGATGAAGTTTATGAGAATCAACCAAAAATAACCTGCTGTAGTTGCATCGCTGCGTGAATGTTTGTGCAGCGATGTTTTACAGCTATAATTAAACACTCGCATCCAGACTAATGGAAGGAGAAACTCAGGACGTCGGGAAACTAATTGCTACACTCAGTCTCTCTCTCTCCACACACACACTTTCTGCTTTTGTCTTCACTAATCTAATCTGGCTCAGCAACTCTCTTCACTTTTTAGCCCCGTTACCTACCTCCTCCTCTTCCTCCTCCTCTTCCTCGCTCACTTTCCTCCAGTAGAAGGATGTTCTCGGTTTAATGAGAAGCTCCTCATTACTGCGTCTCTTTGCTCTCAGCGTTTCATTCCTCTCTCCTTGAGTTTGTGCTGCAGTCGGTGCTCAGCCCCGCGGTACAATGTCACCAGCGCTGCTTTGTTTGGAGGACGAGCTCTTGGTGTCTTTGTCTCTGAATCCAAGTTCAGTGAGTTTATTGTCAGGACTGTTTGTCAGAAACGGTGCTCATGAAGTAGTTTAGTGCTTTACCTTACCGTTCCTGATTAACTGTAGATAAACTGGTTCATATGTAACTAATAAATGCCTTAAATTCACAGAGATTAACCTCGAATCTCGAATTGTTTTCAATGTATTTTAACATACATCTGTTTTCAAACGGTGTAATCAACAATAATACTGTTATTTAATCTGTATTTTTACGGTTCATTACATGTATTTTTGTGGAACGGTTGTGGGGCCCTGGAGCTCAGTCTATTGGATTGCTTTTGGGGTTTTTTGGACGGGTTGATTTGACAAAACAAGCATTTTGAAGATGTGACGGGCATCTTAAAAAAGATTTCTGAAGAAGTAATTAAGATCTATCAATAAGTTGAATATCTTCAACCCCAGAAAGTTCAACATTTCTTTCTCGCCTGTGTTTTTCCTCCAGACACGATGGAGCGGTGGTGGGCGTGGCACTTTGCCCTCTTCGCCCTGGCAGCCGTCTACATCCTCCCCTCCCAGGGTAAAAACAGAGAGTTCCTCTCCAACACTCTGATCAACAACGTGGTGGCCGATCACCGCTCGGGCCGGCTGTACGTCGGCGCCGTCAACCACCTCTACCAGCTGAACCGGGACCTCGAGGTCGAGTCCCACACCGAGACGGGCCCCAAAAAGGACAACCGGCAGTGCACGCCGCCCGTCACGGACGCCTGCGAGGAGGCCGTGGACACCGCCAACCACAACAAGCTGCTGCTGGTCCAGGAGGCCAAGGACGTGCTGGTGGTCTGCGGCAGCGTCTTCAGGGGCATCTGCTCGCTGAGGAACCTGAGCAACGTGGAGGAGCTGCTGTACTTCAGCGACACCAAAGGGGAGAAGTCGTACGTGGCGAGTGCCGAGGAGAGCGTCTCCGTGGTGGGAGTGATGTCCTACTACACCACCAAGGAAAATAACAACTTCACCGTGTTCCTGGTGAGGAGTGAAACACACACACACACACACTCAGACACACACATATGCGTTATATTCCCAGCGGCACAGGGGTGAATTAAAAAAAATCATCACCTCCATCTGTGATATAGTGCGAGCAAATGCAATTCAATTTGCAATTTGTAGAGAATGGAAGAATCAAATTGGCGGCCATGTGGGAAATGAGCGGTCTTGTCAGTTATCTTGAGATGTTTGGTTGTTTTTATTTCTTCACACAGTATCAGTGAAGTCTTTACAAGATGTTTCGTGATGTCATGTCTTCTCCTTTTCCTTCGGAAGCACGGTGAAGCTTTTGATGGCGTTTCTAATGAAATCAGATGATGTGTGAAGGTCTAGCCTCCTCAGGTAAAGGTATGAGAGGAGGTCTGGGGGAACCATTTTCATAAAGCTTCCTACTGCTCTCATAGTGACGAAGAGAATTCTTAACGTTTTCTAAGAATTTCCCCTCAAATTTGAGACATATTCCTGGAAAGGATAAACGTTATTCAATAGAGCTTCTTAGCCCTTAAGACGGCTCCTACGGTGAAGCACTGTCGGCAGTAGTAGTTCGTAGGGAGGAGGACTTTCAAGAGGCTCAAGAGTTTCTAGTGCAGAGGAGAACAATGTTTGAAAGACAAAGAGGTAGAAGGAGCTGTCTCCACACGCTGAATGATTAATGAAACGCTAAAGATGAGATCGTTCAGGGATCTGTGGTCGATCTCACCTTAGATACGTCACATCCCCCACCCGACGCAATCACTCTTTAACGCCAGAAGTGATGTCAGCGGTAAGATATTTGGCGAAATGCAACAGTGTTCGCTGGTTTATAGATTTACATGCAGACCAACGCCACTGCTTATAGCGATCACAACAGCTGATGAAAGCCGTTAATATCTAATAGATTAAGTACCAAAATGATCTGCAAAGCAAATAAATATAATAAGCATGTGACGAGACTACTGCACAAGTAGGCCTCTGGTTTCAAACATTTCAGAGGCTACTTTTAAAGTATGGCTGACAATTTACTCCACAGAGAAGTTCACGGTAAAAGTTTCTCTTCCTGTTTCTTTAATCACTCCTGAGCTACTCGATGGATTTCAGGCTAAGTTAGGAGCTCTCTGAGAGTTTCTCCCAATGTTTACGGCCCCTGAAGTTTAAAATCCGATATTTTCGACTCTCCATTTCCTTCTGTTTCAAACTCTACAGCTGCTCGATGCTCCACTTTGTTCACAATCTAGTCCCTTAATCTGATGGTTATTGATATTGATCAGTGCAAGTCCTTGAGGGCAACTCACAAACTGTAAAAAGCAAACTGTACGTCAAGTCTTTCCTCTCTGAGTGTTGACCGCTGTGAGTTTCACATCACTGAGACCGAGACCTTTTCAAAGCCCTTATGATTAAATGTGACAGTGTTATTGTTCTGGTCGAAACCTGAGGCGTGCGTCTAAGGTTTTACTTGAGCCTTAATGTTTCCGCTCTCAAGTCAAATCAAGTCTTTAGGGACTAGTCAAGAATCTGTCCGGTGGAGTCAGAGCCAAGTCTCCCTCTAGTCCACGTCTCCGGTCTCAAATCTATAACTGGGATTTAACACGTGAAGAAAAACAGTTATAGAGACAATGATTGGTGGTTTTGGGAGCACTTACGCATTGGCATTGAATTGGTAGAAATAAGTGCCGTAGTCTACATTTATGAATTTCTACAGTCAATGAAATTCTGTACCATTATTATTACAATAGGCCTCAATAAAGCTCCAAAGGTGTAAAGACTACACCTGCTCTATGGTTAAATAATTATGTTATTACATACATTAGAGCCATTTAATTCTTCTGGAAATGTTTTCCTGTAAAACATATCCTCTAAATCAAAAGAGCAGATTCCTAAAACCTTTAGATAATGTTTAATTATAAGCCGTTTGTTCAGGATTAAAGTTGTTGCACGAAAAGGACGTAAACATTTTTACTGATGAATTACAGCACCCTCGTTCTCACCGTGCGTTGGCTCGTCCAGATGATCTCCAGATTAGTTTTTATGTTCATACGGCTTATGAGGCCCATTTCGAGCACTTACGCATTGGAGATATTAAAAAGCTAGAGATTCCCTTTACTCAGCACAGCAGTAAAATAAACTAGACACATGATGAGTCTACAGGAACACTGACTCTGTCGACTGCCTCTTGGCATGAGCTAATCGTCTCTCCCGCCACAGGTTGGTAAAGGGTACGGCAGCCACGACAGCACCAAGCTCATCTCCACCCGCATCCTCCAGGACTACGGGGATTGGGTGGTGTTCGACAGCATCATCGAGGCCTCGGCGGTGCAGGCCAACCCCTTCGTCCTGCGGTACCTCCACGACTTCCGCTTCGCCTTCAAGGACGGCGGCTTCGTGTACTTCCTGTTCTCGCGGACGCTGGGCGTCCAGGACACCAAGAACTTCACCTTCATCTCCAGGATGTGCGAGGTCGATCAGAGTTATTACTCCTACACCGAGCTGCAGCTCAACTGCAGCGCCACCAACAAGTACAACAAAGCTCAGGTAATAACAATATGAATGCAGTCTGCAAGACTCTGGATAGGCTGTCGGCATTTTTTATTGAAAGGGCAGCAGTGACTCGGAAAGAAACCCATTTGGACTTTTTACATTTGAATGAGTTTGTCTTCACGTGGAACCTTTTTTGTGAACGCCTTGGCTTTGACCCCTGAAAAACTTTATAAATTGGATTTAAAATGCTCCTGAACCTGAATTTATGGGGTCTCCACACTCACTGTACCTCTGTTTTATCAGCAAAATACACATTTTTTGTGTGAATATTCAACATTCAGCTCTTTTATCTCCTCCTCGTCTACCCAGGCTGCCTATGTTGCAACACCAGGGGAAGTTTTGGCTCAGACTATGAACAAATCAGGCCAAATCAGGCCAGACTCTGACAAGGTGCTGTTTGTCACCTTCACTTCTGATGAAGACCCATCTGCTTCAGCCATGTGTAGGTGTCGTCTTCATTATGCAGATGTTCCTGATATGTTGCCTGATGTTTGTCAGTTAGTTGGCAGAATGTCCAAACAACATGTCAGAACATTTCAGTGGAATGAGGCAGAAAATTTGTCCCTGGGACACGGAGAAAGTGATGAGTTGTTGGTGCAGATTGAGACGTACTAGCGCCACCATGTGGCCATTATTCCCAGATTGTTCAACACAAATCTGTTTAGATATCTGAGATTCATAGTTAATTCTTGACCATGGAAACAGCCGCTGAGAAAACACTAGGTTTGCTTGGTACAGTAGCTTATCTGGAGCTTTTGATCAAATCACAAGCTCCAGAATAAAAAATGTATTCTAAATGGCAAGACATTTAGCAAAAAAATGGGAAAAAATATATTTATTTTCACATCAGTTTTCACCAAATAACATATTTGAATAAGTCCCCAATTTTCCTCCCATTATCTCCCATTTTCATCGGTTGCCTAATTCCTTTAGTTATTGCTAATTTTACGAATAATTAGCTGTAGTTTCATGCACATGTGGCTCTGACGGATTACACCTACAGTATAAGTTGTACATCTCTTTAAATTTAGCATGATTCATTCTAACAAACATCTCTAGTAATCCCACGTTTTCTGTGGTTACCGTGTTTCAAAATAATCACATTTTCTTTCATCAAAATAAAACTGAATATCGAGGATTTTGCAGAATAAGCGCTCTGTAATTTTTGGTTTGTGACATTTTTATTGTTTGGAAAACAGACTCAAATGTGTCATTTATTATCAGAGGAAACTGTGTGAAACAGGTTCAAACTGTGTTTTTGCTCCTGTCTGTAGGCATGTACCCTATTCACTCTATTAATAAGAGGCTGGTGGAGATAATAGGAGCCTGTTACAGCGACAACGGCATCATTAACGACAAGGCTGCTGTCTACTCGCCTTACTCCTCCAAGTCTGAGGACCTGTGCAGCAACTCTAACGTGAGAAAAACCCGTCTGTGTGTCAGAGATAACGAGAGACTGAAACAATTCACAACGAGCAAATAACTCTATAATAATGTTTTACTCGTGATGTCTTTCCTGCTCCATCAGAATGAAATGGCCATCAAATATAAGTGTGGAGCCGAGTTCCTGCCCTCCCCGTTGGCCAGCAAGGCCGAGTTCGCCTTAACAACCGAGCCCTCATTGGCCCGTAAGGGTCACATGACCGCCGTGGCCATTGCTGTGGAAATGGGGCACACGGTGGCGTTCCTGGGCACCGCCGCCGGAGAGGTGAAGACTGACTTTTATGTTCCTTTTTCATTCTTTGCGGTCATTTGTTTTCTTCTTGATTGTCACCTTTTTTCTGTCCATTTGCAATTATAGTAAATATGAAATACATATAAGACCTGATGGGGAAATCAACCTCATAACTCCACAGACACACCGTTAAAATATATTATATTCATATATATCAACTGTATTGATATTTATTTATGTTTATAAGGGAAGAAAGTGTCTATTCAGGACCTTTGGCCCTAATAAGCTGTCATAGTATTTACTGTAAAATACATTTTTAAATAAGTGGTAGACGTCCAATCCCTAAATATAGCACTAGAAATTGCAGTCTCCAATAATACATGTATGAATATGTACGTTGGTTCATATTTAAGTGAACTAAAGTCATATAAATGTCTCCAGTTTTTTGAATAAATACCATTTAACATAGTTGAACAGGACACTCCCCAGTTTAAGCTTCATAAAATGTTTGATTTGAGACCTTTTAAAGCTTCATTATGGAATATTTGCATTATAAATGCACGTCATTTTACTCAGCATGTCTCTCATTCATGTCTTGTCATCCCTTTGGCGTGATGCCATATTTAGTTGAATTTATTGAGTGCAAAGCGGAGTAACTGAGGAGTCTGAATTTAACGGCGCGTTAATGCAGTTTTTGTGTTCTCTGCAGGTGTTGAAGGTGCATCTGTCGGCCCATTCCGAGGTGTACGGGCGAGCGCAGGGCGACGTCACGGGAGAGAAGGTCAACAAGAACCTGATGTTCGACGATTCCGAACGCCGACACCTGTACATCACCACGGAGAAGAAGGTCAGACTCCGGACGCATTGATCACGCTTCTTCTCAATCCATTTCTCTCACCTTCCATCCGTCGAACACCTCCGCGTGTCGACGCATGAAGAAGGTCATGGCCTCACTTCTACTTTTTCATTCCCCCATCAGGTCGGGGACTTAACGAGTCTTTCATTTATTCTCTCCGTCTTATTTGATCATTTATTCATCCGATCGACTCGCACCGATACATCCGCCTACGTTACCACACAGAAGTCAGCTATTGATTTATTCACTCGCTCTCTCTTTGTTGCCCCCCCCCTCCTCTCTCTGCGTTCTTCTCTTCATCCATCTTCTTCTTTGTCCTTTCATCTTTTTTCGGTCGCTGTCATTCTCCGCCGCAACGCGTCGACAGTGAAATTGATGTTATTGATTTAGAAATGAATTAATTGGAGTGCGCTTCAAGAGGGCGGCTCGCTTTCATCAAGTCAAGTGACGACGCTCAGGCTCGCTCCATCTGCTCATTTAAATGTATTAGATCGGACTCTTCTTCTTGTCAGGCCTTTAAATTACTTCCACAGCTGGTTGGAAGAAGTCCTCTACTAAAATAACATCCACCAAGACCTTCCCTTCACAAGAACATATCAAAGGAAGATCGTGATTACCATTGTACATAACAGTGTTGAAATAACATATAAAGCTCTTATATGTTTACATAGAACACTTAAATGTATCACATATCTTCATCATATGGAAAAAACAAACAAAAAACATCCAAAAGGGATCCATCACCGATTTGTTTTCTCCAGGAATTCTTTCTTAAAGAGAGAATGCTAGACGGGAATAATCATATATAATATATCGGTCTCCTCTGTACTGTCAGACTAGTGAAATTGAGTCGACTATCGCACTTCTCGGAGTCACAACTCTATTAAATCTTAACACAAAGACATGAAAGATATATTTATATAATTCAGTGTGACTTGCACCTCCCGCTGATATCATTACTTCTGATGTCCGTCGAGAAAAGAACATAAATCCACTTTACAGTCGGAGCACAAAAGAGGCTTCAGAACTCATCCGGGAATCTTCACATTTTAAAGTTTTCTTCAGTATCAAAGTAATCCAGTGATAGTTGTCTGTACATCCAATGGGTTCACTGCAAACAGGAGCTGCTAATAGATGATTCAGCTTGTTTTTAACGGCTAATTTGCCAAAATCTAAACGAATATAGTCCGAAAAACGTTTAAAATTTGTGTTTAGATGATTTATTTTCCTTGTGTATATTTTTTTTTTTGTCCTCATCTCAGTGTTATCTTTTGCCCTTAAGCTCCTGAATGTTGTTGACAATAACTGCTCCTTCAAAATAAAAGCCTGTCTTGTGTTTGCAGATCACCAAGGTTCCCGTCCAGGCCTGCCACCTGAAGACAGACTGCCAGTCCTGCGTCTCCATGAAGGATCCGTACTGTGGCTGGTGTGTCCTGGAGGGAAAGTGAGTCAGAGAGTGTGTGTGTGTGTGTGTGTGTGTGCATTTTCAATATGCCTATAAATGCGTTTAACGAGCGTAAAGTGTGTTTTCCTGCGAATCCGAGGTTTATTTTGAAAAGACACTATATTGAATCACTCGTGATGTTGATTGCTCTCCGCTTGACCTCCCCCCCCCCCCCCGGCGCACCAGGAAGTTGGAGTGTAGCAGGTGGTGGGAGGACAAGATCTGGCTGTGGTCGCCCAATCAGCAGTGTGTTCAGATCCAGGCCTTCATCCCGCCGAACCTGAGCTGCAAGAAGACGCAGCAGGTAGGAGAGAGTGATGCCGAGGATGTGAATGAACATGTATTCTTGAGTGAATTCCCCCCCCCTCCCCCTCGAGCTGAGTTCACTTCCTGCTGAGCTCAGCTTTCCTCGAACCAGTCAAACCTCCTGAGTTGGAGCGCTCTGTGTGTCCGTGTTGTCAGCATTTCAAACAGGTTCCCAACCTCTGGTGCTGGACCCTCCAGGTGCCCCCTCGCTGCTACGACACAACGACAATTTTAACTCCTGGATACATTATGATTTGCAATTCTATAAATGTGAGCCAGATGTGTGTTGCATGGATTTGTGCTGACAGTCGGGCTGATTCAGCTCATAAAGGGAAACAATGTTCCCACAACGGTGATGTTGTGACACCTAGAAACTGCTGATGAAACCTCGTTTCGGTGAATCACACATGAGCAACATCGCTCAAAAACAACAACATGCCAGAGAAGATCAACACGCCTATTTCTTACACTTATTCTCTTGTATTCAAAAAGACACCGCCATCCAAACTCCTTATATACAGAGTTTCTCTTTTACTACAGCCCCATGAACGCCTCTTCAACTTACTTGCGGTTGCTTAGCCATGATTGGACAATCAATCTTCTGGGGAGGGGTTTAGTGAATGGTCAATTTTAATGTATGCTTTATTCATCCCTCAATTCAACACGAGCGAGTCTAAAGTATGTTGGAAGTTTATTTTGAAAAGAGACCGTATGCATGCGACAAGTGGAAGGTCGTATGTTTCCTTCGAACATGGAAGTTTATTTTGAAAATACACTACGCTTCTATCAGGCGCAAGCTGTATTTTTCCTGTGAAAATGGAAGTTTATTTTGAAAACAATATGCGTGAAACCGACAGAAACTGTAAACACAGAAGTTTATTCTGAAAATAAACAATGCGTCTAAACAGTGGAAACTGTACGTTTCCCGTGAAAAAGGAAGTTTACTTTGAAAAGACACTGTACGTGTTTAACGAGCGGAAACTGGTCGTTTCCTGTGAACACAGAAGTTTATTTTGAAAAGACGCTGACCTTTGTAGGTCTGGACGATGTCAATACTTCTTCAGATCATTATTTATTTAGCTTCAGATACATTTAGAAATATTCTTGCATCAGGGGTCTATGTAATTGATCTGAGAACAGATATGGTTTTGAGGCCATAAAGAAAGTTATGCTTTCAAAGCATTCTCTCCCTTAAAAGAAGATTCAAAGTCTATCTTTATCATCTCTAGGAGACAAAACAATCGTAACGTAGTGTTGAGCAAACAGCTGCAACACTTTGCTGCATCGCTCCGTCTCAACCTGACGGCTGAACTTTCTGCATTAATGAGGAATTGATCAAAGAGCTGATTTTAACAGAAAGACGCGTCGTCCTTCAAGATGTCCGGCACCAGACTGAGCTTCCATCCCAGAACTCCTTTCTGCTCCGACGATAACTTCACAGCTCTGAGACGCTCCTTTTTAATTCTCACAGTCGTCCTCATCAGACGTGATGAATGTTATGGCTGCGCGTTAATTACAATCAGGTCAGGTTATAATAAACATTATGCAAATAGAAGCAAGTCGATCCTTTTTAAAGTGCAACTGTGAAGACGTTGTGTGTAGTTTTATGTTCGTCTTGTTACTAAATGTGAAGTTCTCTTTAAGCATAAAGTTAAATATCGTCACAAGTCTTTATATGCAAATTTAAGTCAAACATCTTCTGAATGCTGATCGTTCAACTCTCACTGCACTTCTCAAGCTTTCAGCAACACGATGATGATTTGTTATTAGTTCAAACTTTACACTTTAAAGCTCCACCTGTCAATATCTTTACATTAACGTGTGTGTCGGGAAGTCGACTCTCTAAGTTTGACGTCCGCCAAACAAGAGAACCTCTTCTGGGCCCAGACGGATGAATCCGCTGCATCTTAATTCGGGAGTTTGTGACTCTCGTCTGCGTTGCAGCTCCTAGTTTGTGATTTTTAATCTGATAAGACGGTCTGATTTTAAAGCCTTAAAGAAAACTTCAGCGTGCTGCAGCTTTACATTCTTAAAAAGAGGAGAACGTCTCCGCTGAATTCATTTCGGGGCTTCGCTCTCCATTAGATCAGAAAGTTTGAAATGAAAACTTTAGCGGCGTAATTAAACTGGTTGAGGTCAGTGAGGACTAATGAGGACGATGATGTCTGAACGGCACGGTCGAATAGTAATTATGACACACACACACACACACACACAGCTCATGGTTACATGCGTGCACATACACACAGTCAGCCATTTGGATTCTTACTACTTCTCCCTCAATTACACACATCTCTTTGTTGCTCATTAACACACACACACCATCTGTTTCTTCCTTACACACACACACACACAAACAGACACACTCTCTCTTACCTTTATCAGACTCCTGCATTCAAAATGTTACTTAAGTTAAATTATTAATCAAGAAAATATGCTTAAAGTACAAAACTACTTACTTTGCAGGTAAAATAAGATCTGTTGTTACATGTTTTATATATTATATCCTCCTATTAGATTATTGTAATTAATGCAGTAACATGTAAAACCATTAATAACATTAATTATGTCATATTAAATGTCCTCTTTGGGCTGTCTTCAGAAGGATGCAGCGTGATTATGATTAATATCAGGCTACTTCTCTCTTTAACATCCCCGGTTCTTTTAGGTCATCGTGTGCAAGTGTTGAATATTCAATAAGTTGTTCTGCTTTGTAGCAATATTGGATTTACAGGTTATTTGCATCGATGTGATGAAGTACATTGTCAAGTATTTCATTGATTGGCCAAAAGTAGCCAAAAATAGATATTACATCTCTTTTGTTATCTATAAACTGATGAATTTCCATAAAATATATCGTATATATTGCTGCTATACTGCTGTAGCATGCAGGACAAACATATACGTGGTTACGGGATAAACCATCTTGTTTGTTTTCATTATAAGGAATAAATAACACGATCTTGTGTCACTTTCCCTGTTTTTCTGTCTAATGTTACTGTTACACATCCTTTATCTCACTGCAGCCGGTAGAAGTGAACGACTGTTCCCTCCTCCTTTAATCCCGCTCCCTTCTCCAGGTCGATATCGAGATACCGGCGCTCCCGGCCCTGATGAGTTCCGATAGGCTGCAGTGCGAGTTCGGCTCCATCACCAGCGAAGCCGTGATGGTCATCTCTGACAGTCGGGTGCGGGTCGTCTGTGCGCTGCCGGACCCCTCGCAGATCCCACCGACCCCCCACCAGCAGGGTAGGAAGCTTCATTAATATGTTGTAGTGTTCATATCTTTCACTACATTGTGCTCTCCTGGTTAATCTGTCATTCAACATTATTTAACATGTTTGTTATGTCCATTGTGTAATGCTGTGGGCTACTTTTATATCCTGTCTTCATGCGTTTTGATTTATTATGTTTATAACTTTGTTGTTGAAAGGTTCTTACCTTCAGTAAGATTGAAAAGAAACCGTTTACGATGCTCGTGTGTTGTTTTTGCTCAAAGAAGCATTAAGAAATCTGATCATTTAGCAGCAGAACAGGTCTATTAAAAAGCCCTTTTCACTGATAACTGTTCGCTCGCAGCAGGAAATTAAACTCCTGTTTGGTTTAAACTTATTCAACACATTTGGAAATACTATATCAGGAAGTTACTAGTCTGGCTTTGTCCAAAAACAACAAAATCAGTGATGGAACATGTTAATTCCTGAGCTTCAGAGGTGTTGGTAGGTGGATTTTATTACTTGTGCACAGAGCCAGGCTAGCAGGTTCCCCCCGTTTCCAGTCTTCATGCTAAGCTAAGCTAAGCTAACCGGCTGTAGCTTCATATTTAACAAGAAAATAAGAAAGTGGTATCAAGCGTCTCATTTAACTCTTGGCGTTAATGCGAATATGGTATTTCCCAAATGTTGAACTTTTCCTTTAAATGTATATGTGTGTGTGTGTGTGTGTGTGTGTGTGTGTGTGTGTGTGTGTGTGTGTGTGTTTTCAGACTACGTGTCCGTCCCAGTCAAGGTTCTGGTGAACGACAAAATCAAGGTGACGTCTGGAGAATATCACTTCTACAACTGTGCTGCTACTGTCAGGAAGAACCAAAACTCACCGTAAGATGGCCGACACACACACACACACACACACTTGAATCACACACACGTGTCTATAAGTATGTGGTGTGTTTGTGTCTTCTCAGGTGTATAGCGTGTGTGACCAGTGAGTGGGGCTGTCAGTGGAACGCTCGGGAACACAGCTGCAGTGACAACAATGATGCTCTTGGTGGAGAACACATAGTTAAACCTCAACAGGTAAGTGTGTGTGTGTGTGTGTGTGTGTGTGTGCGCGCGCGTGTGTGTGTGTTGTCGTTTTCTGTATTTCAGGGTTTTTTTGTATTCCTTTAAAAAGTGTTCACATAAGTTGATGAGCTTTAACGCTACACTGGTTACAGAACAAGCGTGTCCCTTCGGACCACGTTCTCTGTTATCCGTGCTCGCTATCGATCACTAGAAGATGATCTAGACTCATATTATTTCTGCTTCTGCGTGTCCTCCCCTGATGAAGGCTGGCAGTTGTCCGCAGTTTGAGTCTCCGGAGCCGCTGTTGATCCCCGTGGGCTTTCAGATCCCCATCAGCTTCCAGGGAACAAACCTGGACTACACGGTGAGATCAGAACCTGAACATTCACTGCTTCGTTATCGACGTCCACCGTGTTTTATTTGTGTTAATGATGTCCCGCTCTGTCTCCAGGGACGGAGGTTTTCCATCGGGACGGAGCTGATGAAGGACACGGAGGTGACGGTGACGCAGGAGCAGGGGTCAAAGTTCACATTCCCGGGTTATGAGGTCAGTATCAAAGAACCAATGAGGTGTTGTTAATGTGTATTTTGTGTTTTCTTTCCACTAGTCTGAAAAATTGAGGATGAAAAACGATGTTTTTTCCTGTAGCAATAATGAACTCTACAGAGGGGATGAACACCGTGTGCAGGGACACGGTTCTTCTGTGTCTGCACCTAAATTAAACCCATTCAGTCCACTCACAGCAGAGCTCTCTGGTTCTTTGCTCGTGTCCATTACCAGCTCTACATTTTCTCCTCCAAGCTCTGCTTTTATGTTCTGAAGCTCGACCGTGAAGGCGTTCACAGCGACACCAGGCAGTGCGTCATTAATGGTGATTAGCGTGATTAGAGAGTCGTTAGCGCTTCGTTTGTGAGGAGATTCAATTCTGAGTCGGGAAAAGTTTGGAGCTCAGTTGTGTGCTTGATTTTGACACGTGTTTATATTTTAATGATTTTTTAATTTTACGTGCCTGTTAGTGTTGTTAATGCTTCGGCTCACAATGCTTATTCACCGTTAAATAGATGTCCGTGTGTGTGTGATGGCGCCCCCTAGAGGGCTGCAGAGCAACGCCATTGTTTTCACTCACGAGCTTCAGTTTTTCCACTTGTCTGCCTCCATCGATCCTCACCTCACGTTGAGTCCTAAAGATTGCCAATATGTGGTTAAAGAGTGTGTGTTTCCTCACTCTCTTTCTCCACCCACACACACACACACACACACACACACAC